GGCTTCAAATTCCTACCTCTCGCAGTTCGCTCAGAGAGGCCAGCGCTTCCCTGGAGCAGGCCAGAGCTAACGACGGGCGCTGCCGGGTCGACCAGGAGTTACTGGAGGAAAACGAGGGCAGCTCTACTTCTCTCCTCTCCTGCCACGACTTCTCATCAGCATCCATCTGGCAGTGTGAGTCTGATGCTGGGCGCTACCGACTCCAGATCAGCCCCTCTACCTCTCCTCCAAGGGTGGCTACCACAACATTCATAACGGGTCTGCGGGTGCGAAGTCATACTACGCCATCCCCCTCCAGAGCTACCTATCCACTATGCTGTCACACGACTCCGACGACACGTTAGCTAACCTAGCAGGCTTAGACAACTACTCTCGCAAGTTCCAGGTCAACCAGAGGGATAGGCGTCGTCTACGTCAGGGTCTTCGAGGTCTCGGCAAAGGTTCTGGCTCTGACTTCTGGGGACGCGAATGCGTGGAGGTCTTCTCGGCTCCCCGTGCCGCAGCGGTCTCCACCCAGCTGGGCCCCAGAGGCCCCCCAACGGGCGGCAGCTTAGATCTAACTGCGGGCTGGGACTTCCGACGGATAGATCACAAGGAACTAGGTAAGAGGCGGATCCAGAAGTGGCGCCCGTGGCTGGTATTTCTCATCCCACCCTGCACCGAGTTTGCCCCCATCAGTGCCGTCAACGACGAGCGACGTGAGCCAGCCAACATGGCCAGGGCACGGGGGGAGGCTCTAGACCTGTGGTCGTACGCCATGGAGATAATCCAGCTTCAAATCAAAGATGGCCGCAGGTTTGCCTTGGAACAGCCGGCTACTGCGACCTCATGGGCCCTTCCCAGTACTCAGCAGCTTCTGGAGCTCCCAGGCGTGACCAGGACCACTTTCGACATGTGCAGGTTTGGGCTCTCTGTTAGGCATGGCGCGATTTCCAAGAAACCTGCGACCGTGGCCTCCAACGACTGCGAAGTGCACAAGACTCTCTTGGGAAAGCGGTGTGTCGGGGACCATCAACACATGGTGCTGGAGGGAGGTGGTCTGCCACGAAGTGCAGCATGCTATCCCATCAAGTTCTGTAAGGCCATCGCCCACGCGGCCCACCGATCCGCCGAGCATCAGCAGCAGGGCATCGCCGAGAGCTATCCGAGCGGTGTGCTGGCGCCCCGTCGTCGAGAATCGCCGACTCAGTCTCCGGCGGAGGGCCGCGAGCAGGACAGCTCAGAGGACGAGGAGGAGGAGGGGGATCAGCAGCAGCAGGACTGTCCGTTGACCCAGGAACAGATTCGACAGGTGGAGAAGGCTCACATCAATCTCGGCTATCCCACCAAGAGAGACCTGCTTCGCATTCTCAGATGTGCCCACGGCCGTCCAGAGATTCTGCAGCATGTTCAACGTCATTTCGTGTTCCAGTCCTGTTCAAGTCGATCCCACAGCGCGGAGCTGCAGTTGCCGGAACGTTCTCTTTCCATAAGTTGATCGGAGTGGATCTCTTCTTTGTGACATATCAGCGTCGAGAGCACACGTTTCTAAATGCCGTATGCTTTGGAACGTCTCTACAGTGGGTGGGGCTCGTGGCGCCCGGGAGGCGCTCTCAGCCAGCTGCCGTATGGAAAGCCGTCTCTCGGGATTGGATCCGACACTGCGGACCTCCAGAGGTCCTCATCTCCGACGGCGGCGGCGAGTTCGAGGCCGAGTTCAGCAGACACTTAGAACAACAAGGGGTGTTCCCACGCACCACCGACGCAGACAGCCCTTGGCAAAATGGGAAGACAGAGCGGGTGGGTCAATGGTTGAAGGAACGACTCCAGAGGTTCGTGGACGATGCTATCCTGGAGGGGCCCGACGACCTAGAACTGGCGGCCTGTGAGTTGGCTGCCTGGCGGAATCGATTTCTGAATCGAGGCGGGTACTCGCCTCTGCAACTCGTCTTCGGGCAGAACCCCAGAGCACCCCAGGAGTTGCTCAGCGAGGACCCCCTAGATCACATTGGACTTCGCGACCTCGAGGAACCAAGCGCCGACCTCGACAGCGCAGCCGCGGCCTTCCGACACCGGCATGAGATCCGGACTCGAGCTCGGCAGCTCGCGATGGAAGGAGATGCGAGGAGGAAGCTGCGGCATGCGTTGGGATCAGCTTGGCATCGAGACAGCATCTACCGGCCAGGGGATTGGGTGTACATCTGGAGGCGCGCGCCAAAGACAGGGCGCAAACCCTGCGGTTTGCAGAGGGACAGGTGGATCGGGCCGGGTGCAGTAGTCTACCATCACGGTACAACAGTGTGGGTGTGCGTGCGTAGTCGCTGTGGAAATGCAGCTGTGAACAGATACGACCTGCTACGCAGTCAGAGTCTCTGGGGGCCGAGCCCATGCAAACTACGTGCTACAAGGGCGTCTTGGACGAGCAGCTAGGAAAGGGGATCTCGGGAGGGGCCCTAGATGTTGCTCAAGAGGGGACACCGCCGCCAGAGGCCACCACGGCTCCCATCAGCTCCGAGGGCCTCGCGGCCCCTGTGTCTCTTGCCCCCTCTGGCTCCAACGAGGTTTCCGGTCACCAAGGGGGCCCCCAGGACTCCAACATGGGCACCAGCAACATCGAGGCCTCACGGGTTCCTACTCCAGCTCCCGACTCCAGCATCTACCCAGCTCCAGCTCCGACTCCAGGGATCGCAGGTCCTGAGGCTCAAGCAGCAGTTGGGCCTCCAGCTCCACCTCCTGGACTGCAGCTCTCAGCCCAGGCAGCCAGTTCGAGGCCGAGACCTCGACTCGTCTGGGCCCCAGGGCCAGTGGCTCGCCTGATGCCGGCGCCAGAGCACGAGGAGTCAGTCCCAGCGCCAGCAGAGCCAGCAGAGGCTCTCGGACAGGTCAGCTCGGGTGTCACCTCGACTGGGCCTCAGAGGGGGCCTGCCTCCGATCCGACACCTCCAGTGTCTCAGGAAAGCTCTACTCCTGCTGGCTCGGTGACCGGCTCTCTGGCGGCGGCCGCAGCCGGAGGCCCTCGGGCTTCTTCGAGACGCCCTTCGTTGTCCGAGGACGACCCAGAGCTCAAACGCGCTAGACTGGATCCCGACACGCTTCGTTCAGCAGCTGTAGGAGCGCCGACGGACGAGCAGTTCAGGGTCTCAGGTCTTCCGACACCTTCCGAGCTTCTGCCGAGTGCCGAAGGTAGAGTTCGCAACCAGATTCAAGTGTTCGAGGACTGGCGGTCTCAGCAAGGCGGCGCCGCAGCCTCTTCTCCCACCGGGCCCCAAGGGGCCGAGCCGGCGACCTCGATAGGCGAGACCGATTTCAGCGCTCTCGAGGGCTACTGTGAGGTGCTGGACTCCTGGTTCGAGAACGCGGGCTGGAGCGGGGACCTCGAGACCTACATGAATGGCCGGAAGGACATGATCTTCGAGCACTCCGAGGACTGTGACGGGCAGTGGTCTCTGCTGTCCTCGCGCGGCGGCCCAGGAGCTCGAGGTGTTCCGGCGATCGGACGAGGCAGAGTGGAGCGTGCTCAACAAGCCGAACGTGCTGCGGGTTCTCAGCAAGGAGGAGTCCACTCATGCATTTCGCACTCGACCTGAGCGCGTGCTGTCGTCAAGGATGGTCCGCCGGTGGAAGGCGCAGGGAGGTGCCTGCAGCGCCCCGAAGGCGAAGAGCAGGTGGTGCGTTCACGGGTTCGCCGACCCAGACACATGACAACTAGTGACGTACTCTCCGACCCCTCAGGCGGAGGCCATGATGCTCTTCGGGCTCGTGCTCTTGGGCCATGGCATGGATCAGAGCATCGTGGACTGCAAGAACGCATTCAGTCAGTCGAGGCGACTCCGCCGAGCGGGCGGACCTATCTACGTGGCTCCCTGTGAGGGGCTCTCTGGTATCCATGTTGCTGACGGGTGCCTGATAGAGCTACACGTTGCAGTCCACGGCTTGGGCGACGCTCCATGGGAATGGCACGCCACGATTACCTCATACCTCCTGGACCTCGGCTTCAAGAAGTTGCTTCTCGAACCATGTTACTGGACCCTTCGGGGGCAGGGCTCTTTGGAGGCCCAGGTCCTGATAGAGGTGGACGATCTCTGGCTGGGAACGGTGACCTCTCACGCGAAGTGGCTGGCCGACTCTCTGAAGGCCAGGTTCACTTTCGGCAAGCGGCGTGGAGACGAGGCGGAGTTTGCCGGGCGACGCATTCGGAAGGAGGCTCGCCGCATCCGAGTTGACCAGGAGAAATACATATTGGAGGAGATTCACCCGATTGCTCTGGAGAAGGGCCGCCGCTCCAAGAGACAGGGGGCCCTGAGGCGCTCCGAGTTCGAGCAGCTCAGGTCTGGCATCTACCGGATCAACTGGGCGGCGAAGGAGACCCGTCCGGAGGTGGCGGGCACGGCGTCTATCCTTGCCAGCATGCTGGAGAAGGCTGTTGTGGAAGATATCGTTGTTTTCAATCGTGCTGTTCAGATGCTGCGAGACACCGCCTCGCAAGACATGACCATCTGGAGGCACGACCTTACTGAAGTGGAGAGCTTCACTCTGAGTGACGCGGCTGGAATAGGAACGGACTCCCCCATGCAATGTGCCTGGGCCGTTGGCGTGGCCGACCCCCAACTTGCTGCCTGTCTGACCAGCAAGGTGACGATGTTGTCGTGGAGATCATTCAAGATGCGTCGAGCTGCCAACTCTTCCCTGGCCTGGGAGGCCAACTCTCTGTCTTTGGGAGAGGCTGACTGGATCCAGCTACTACTACGTGATGCTTGCTACGGGGACGCGCCGACTGCCGACTGGCGCCAGCGCGCAGGGCCCTACGTGTCCGTGCCGCGCGACAACTGCGAGTTGCATCGACCCCTGCCCGGGGTTCATGCTACGGGCGCCAAGTCCATCTTCGATTGTCTCTCGAAGAATTGTGCCGGACGGAAGGAGGACCGCAGGGCGTCTGGGATTTGGCCATCGCTCGGGATTCCTTCTCTCGGCGAGGCTCTCGTGTGAAATGGTTCCCTCACCTACTCAGCCCCGCCGATGCGATGACCAAGGCGGATGCGTCCAAGGGCTCCGACGCGATGGGTCACATGATCCGTCGCGGGACGCTGACGTTGAGTGACGCCGAGTCCGAGAAGGCTCACCTCCTCGCTGGCGGCGAGAAGGGCCGGCGCAGTCGCGAGGCCAGTCGTCGATGTCGACAGGATCGCGACCGACGACTCGAGGAGTCAGGCCGACAGTGAGTGGGGGGCTGTGGAATCATATGGCTCCCCCTCGTCCTGACTATCCTGCCTATGTCTTTGTTCTCTGCATTGTATGTCTTGTCTGTTGTGCATGCTTTTGCGTGACGCGTTGGCTCAAGGGATTTGCGTGCACGGAGTGCAAAATCAGTCTATTCAGTTTCTCTTGCGATGGCCGCCTGAACCCAACGTGCCTACAATCGGGACCTTCGGTGGGGTTCCCTCTGGGGCCGTGAAGCGCTGTGCTGGGCGCGCCAAAGTGAGGGGGGTGACGGAGGAGGGAGGCGGGGGGGGGAGGAAGGAAGGAGGGGCCCGGGGCGCTGTCTTTTCATAACGAGGACCAAACACCACAGGACGGTTGGGGAAATCTGTTTGGCGAAAGACCCCCTACCATATGCAGTTGCGCGTGCCGCAATTGTGAATATCTTCTTCGGTGGCGCGGCCTATGGGTTTACGAACCTAGTGACGGGTGTGCCGACACGGGTGCGGCGGACGCATGTGGACGGTGGCGCTGGGGCCTTCGGTGGTTCCATATAGGGCCACGAAGCGTGTGAGGGGTGTGCCGAAATTTGTGTGGGGGGCGCAAGTGGTCGGTGGTATTGGGGCCTTGGGTGGAACTCCCTATGAGGTCACGAAACGCGTGAGGGGTGTGCCGAAATTGACGGTTGCACTGGAGCCATGGGGCCACGAAGAGTGTGAGGGGTGTGCTGAGATGGGTGCGGGGAACGCATGTGGACGGTGGCACTGGGGCCTTCGGTGGGGCTCCCTTTGGGGCCACGAAGCGTATGAGGGGTGTGCCGACAGTGGTGCGGGGGACGCATGTGGACGGTGTCACTGGGACTTTCGGTGGAGTTCCCGGTGGGGCTGAAGGCTCAAGCTTCAAGGCTTTTGGGCTCCCTTTTCGCTCACATCTCCCTTTTCGCTCACATCTACCTCGCACCTCATACCTCTTGATGGCTTTTTCTGGAGACGCGATGCCTTCTCCTGCTCCCACCGCTCGTCACACCCGCATGGCAGGCACCCCATATCAGCGGCATCCTCGGGAACCCGTATGAAAAAATGCACGTGGATAAGAAGCCGAGGACAGGACATTGACCTGGCTCTCCGCTCGAAGAACCGCTCTTGGGCTACATCCCGATGGACGGAGACGTGGACGAAGAACTGATCACGCCCCCCATTCGGCAGCCGGACTTCGAAGGTGGAGCCCAAAGCGACACGGTTGAGCAGGTCGCGATGGCTGGCATTGCTGCCCTATTGCAGGAACAGCTCCGTCTGCAACTCTCACCAGTGACTTCCGCGGTCGATAACATGCAGAAGGAAATTGCGAGAATGGATGGCAACCTGACGGGCTTGAACACTACTCTATCGGAGACGCTGGACACGCTCGAAAAGCACATGAACTTGACAGATGCGCGGGTGGAGAAGCTCGAGCACTTGTGCGAGGAGATCGGCGGGAGCACCATCCTCAGCAACGACGCCCTGGAGGCCAAGATCCGCGAGTGCATCCAGGAGTACATGGCGAAGCAACCTCACCAGACGCAGGTGCACGCAGCTTGGTCGACGCATCTCGGAAAGGAGGGCACATACACCGACAAACGCATGGTCGCAGCAGTTACCGGTAACTTGGATGGCCTCTCCGATCTAGTTGCGGCTACGACTTGGCTGCAAGACAAGATGGCTGCCATGGGTGGTCCACGCCCTTCCAACATCAATTCCAAAAGGGATTGCAACGGGATCATTTTTGCCGAGTTCTTGGACCCTGGAGCTCGCGACCTCTCGGTGGAACTTCTCTGGCGTGCCGGACTCAAGAGCGGAGCCAAGCAAGTGTGGGCCAACCAGGGCCGCCCCCCCGCCGAACGCGCTGCCCGGAACTTTTGCTTGGGCCTCAAGCGCATTCTCAAACCCGAGTGGACCATCGCCATCGCGGATGAGTCGCCCTATGTGGTCACAGTCGGCGGGGGGCATGTGCTGAAAGCTCGAGTCTCTGACAACGCGGTAGAGTTGGTCTGGCAAGGGGAGTGGGCAACCTGGCGCGACCTCCATAACCACCCGCAGATCGTCGAATTCCGGAGCGAGTCCAACGAGCTGATTGCCAAGGCCTCTGCAGGCAAAAAGGGACGGGCCAAAGGGGTCGCCAAGGGGCGCCCCAACCATTAGGAGGCAGCACACATAAGCAAAGTTTCACTAGCAGTCGGCAGCACGGCACTTATAAACCAATGTTTAAAGAGAATTCGGAACAGCAGAGGAGAGTACGTTTCACTTGCAATCGGCCCTACTGCAGACCCACGGGGTTGCCGAGATGGTTTACTTCGCCCTTGCAGCCTGCACCTCCAAGTCGCCACTTGGAGCGTCGAGAGCCTCACAGAAGCGAAACACGTGGAGCTAGAGATGCACATGCGCGCTTTGAGCATTGACATCTTGTGTTCCCAGGAGACTCACAATACTGGTTCAAAGTATTACTCAACTGGGTCTGTTTGTGTTATTCATCTTCTCTGGCAATGTCGACGCGGACGACACTGAAACGGCAGGTGTTGGATTTGTGGTTGCCCCCCACCTCCGAACGAACCGCGATCAGCTTTCGTCAGGAAACTTCCCGGATGGCTTGCCTAAAACTCCGCGCGGTGGGCGGCAAGGCCGCAATCCACAGCATTCGTGCGCCTCATTGTGGAAAGCCTGCAGCTGACCGGCAACGCTTCTACAGCGAGCTCGTCGGATTTCTTGGCAAAATCTCTCGCCGTGGCCCCCTGCTTGTGCTCGGCGGCTTCGATGCCAGACTGCGCCGTGTTTTCCCTAACGAGGAGTAGATCATTGGGCCGCGCACGTTTGGCAAGTCAGGGGCGGCGTACAATGCTGCCTCAAACAGGAATCTTCTGGCAGAGCTGTGCACGAAAGCGAAGGTGGCAATCGGCAGCGCCTTTTTTCGACATGCCGGCGGAGCACCAGGTCACGTTTTACGGCATCGGGAAATCACCAGGTGACTTTCTAACTCATGATGGTTTCGGCCAGATTGGTTGTGAATTGATGCCCCAAGCTTGGTTGCATCTGCTTCGACGCGTTTGCAGCGACCGTTCATGCGCACTGGCCTCGCACCACTTCTTCGTCTACGCGGACCTCGACATGGGGGCGCCGAAAGAGAACGGCCACACCGGCCCCCAGCCGCTCGATCTGCAGTCTGCTCGAACGCCTGGAGCGGGAGCTCGGCTTGCAGCGGCTTTCTCAGATCACTTAGAGGGGCTGGACGCGACGACGGCAACGGTGGACGACATCGAACAGAGCATGTCGAAGGCATTCCTCGCGGCAACCGCCGACGCATTGCCGGTGCTTCGGGCGAAGCCGCTCCGGCCGTGGATTTCGAGCCGAACGCTACGTATTATTGACGACCGGGCTGCGGCGAGAACGCAAGGCGACGCGGCGTCTGAGAAAATGTTTCACCGCAAGGTCAAAGACTCAGTGGCAATCGACAAGTACAAGTGGCTCAGCGGTATGCCGGCTTCAGGAGATTGGACAGAAGTGCGACGTCTTCGGAGGGGCCGCCCTCGTAGGCAGGGCCGGTTGCGCGATTCAGCTGGTTGCGTCGTGGACTCCAGCGACCGCGCGGAAACGATGGCTGACTACTTCGAGAAGGTGCAGTGGGCTGCGAGGAACACTACAGCAATGGATGCTACATCGCTGGGGCCAGACCCCCAGGTCGACCTTGGACCTGCCGCGGACGAGGAAGTGTGTTCCGCAGCCTGGAAAATGAAATGGGGCAAAGCATGCGGTTCCGACGGCGCCCCCGGAGACGTTTGGAGAGCGGTCTGCACGCGCGGTTCGCCCGCGCGCAAGTGCTGTCTTCAAAAAAGGCGACGAGTCCAAATGCGAGAATTACCGGCCAATCTGCTTTCTTCAAGCGGGCTACAAGCTCTATGCGTCTACGCTATTGGAAAGGCTGAAGCAAGCAGGCGCAGAAGACCACATCTGGCACGCGCAGTTCGGCTTCAAATCAAGGCACGGCACGGCAGACGCCATCTTCCTGGCTCGCCGGCGCATCGAGGAGACTTGGGAGGCCAGGGATGGGCAGACCGTGCTCTTGGCTTTGGATTGGGCGCGGGTTTTTGACAGCGTGGCGCCCGTGCACTCCTGCAGGCGCTCGGGCGTTTCGGCCTGCCGCGGCCTATGCTGGCAGCCATCGAGGCGATCTACTCCAACAGGCGGTTCGCAGTCAGGGGGGCCGGCGCCGCCTCCTGCTCACGGCCGCAGCGCGCTGGCATTTGCCAGCGGTGCCCTCTCTCGCCCTTCCTGTTCGCCATGGTCATGGCGGTGCTGATATCGGACGCAAGGGCCGCGATTGGCCATCTACGCGGACGACGCGCTCATCCTGGCTGCTTCTGCGGACCGCGCAGCCGTGTACACGCAGGCGCTAGTGAAGGCCGGGGCGAATGACGGGCTCCAATACAATTGGAAGAATTCGGAGGCCTTTCCGGTCAGATGCGCAGCCAACATACTGCAGTCCGACGGGAAGCCCGTCGCCGAGAAAGACAGCATCGTGTACCTTGGAGCCGTGCTCTCTGCGGACGGCGGCATGCAAGTCGAGCTGCGCGGGCGCGTCGGCGCGGCAAGGGCGGAATTCGAGACCCTGGCGCGCATGCGGTCCCACGCTGTAATATCTGCGCCCTGGAAGCTTCGCATATCTGCGGCGTGCGTCGTTAGCAAGTTGCTGTGCAGCATGTGCGCGGCTTGGCTGAGAAGCGCCGAACGAGCCCGTCTTGACGGATTCCAGGCCCGGTGCGTCTGGAAGATTTTGGGCATAGAGCACTCGTACATCAGCCGCGTCTCCACCGCAGATGTTCTCGGACAGGCGCGGTGCGTAACATTGAGCAGCCTTTTGTTGCAGCGGCAGTTTGTTCTTTTTGCTGAAATTGCACGCAAAAGCAACGATCACCCAGTTCGCAAGGCAGTGTTTTAACCATTTTCCGTTACCCCGAACCCCCCATCCCCAGAAGCGGGGGAGAGGCAGACCGCGCTGTGCATGGACCAGAGAAATTTTCAAGCACGCCTTCGCCACCTGCAATCAGAGTGGGTGGCAGTGGAGTGACATACTAGAGATCAAGCCAGAACTTTGGAAGGATGCTGCTCGAGAGTGCAGCCGCTCGCAGTGGCAGACCATATTTTGCTCATGTGCGCGCACACGGCTCCGAATAATGACAATAATAATCCCGGTGGGGCCACGAAGCGTGTGATGGGTGTGCCGAGATTGTCGAAATTGTTGCGGGGGGCGCATGTGGACGGTGACGCTGGGGCCTTCGGTGGAACTCCTTATGGGGCCACGAAGCGAGTGAGGGGTGTGCCGACATGAGTGCGGGAGACGCATGTGGACGGTGGCACTGGGGCCTTCTGTGGAGTTCCCTCTGGGGCCACGAAACGTGTGAGGGGTGTGCCGACATGGGTGCGGGGGACGCATGTGGACGGTGGCACTGGGGCCTTCGGTGGAGCTCCCTATGGGCCAGCCTATGGGGTCACGAAACGTATAAAGGTATGCCGAAACTGGTGTGGGGGACTGGACGGTGGCACTGGGGCCTTCTGTGGAGCTCCCTATGGGGCCACGAAGCGTGTGAGGGATGTGCCACCGTGAGGGGGGGTCGGGAGGAGGGAAAAGGAGGAGGAGGAGGAGAACGCGGGGACTGTCTCTTCCAAACGAGGACCCAACACCACAGGATGGTGGGGAACAACAGGATGAGGAAAGATATTGACAGTCTTTTTCCAGTGGCACGCTGGATAAGCAGCGCGGCCCGCGCCATGTCGCTCTAGCGTTCCGACGAATAAGCTGAGCTGCTCATAGCTAGTACAAGGGAAAAGTGAGGCCGACCTCGCCCACCTGGTTTCCCTCTTCCTTCCTGCACCGTGCGGCGCGGGAACTAAGCGCCAGCAGGCGCGTCCGCGGATGATCTGGGCGTTGGTGCATTGTGCAGGTTGTATGGTTGTTTGTCAAGGATGGCTGGGGGGTGTTGGCATGGTCCTGGGTTTGTCGCCGGTCGGGTTGGGGAGGGTGTGTACGCTCGTGGAACGCAGTGGTGAACCCTTCCCCGAAGAGGGAAGGTTGAAGAGGGTACGCTCTAAACCACTCGCGCCCGGAAGGCTGTTGGGACTTCAGAAGCTGGGCATCCGCTTCTTCTCCATTCTGCAACCCATGGGCTACCTCGCACATACCTGGGCTGGGGCGGAACTTGCCTGTCTGCTTTTTTGGTCGGCGGAAGCGCTTGTCATGGTGCTTCACATTCTCGCCCTCTGGCACACCGAGTTGGTTCATGAACTGGTTGCTCCCGTTCCCGATGTCGCGGCTGGGCGTTGCCGCCTTACGCTGGCGTCCTGGAGGAACTTTTCCACAACGCGCTCGGCGAGCAGGAAGGACTGCACTTCCACGCTGCGGTCCCCAATTTTTGAACGCCACCCAAGGCAATTCGCTCGGCTGCATGGTGGCTACACCCTGCAGCAGGCCCGAGTAGCCCAGATGCTCAAGCGGCAGGCGCTGGCACCGCCATGGCGGCGCCGCCTTCGGCGAAGGGACCAGTGAGCCAAACTATTTGGGAGGAGGCAGGGCCAGAGGAGGGCTTCGCTCCCCCCCCCCCCCCCGCCCCCCCCCCCCCCCCCGGGCGGCGCCCAAGAGCCCGCCGCGCCGCCGCCCCCCCCCCCCCCCCCGGGCGGCGCCCAAGAGCAGGTCGCCGCGCCGCCAGCAGCCGCACCGACAATTATGGCGCCTGTGCGCAGTGTCAGGACGGGCGTCGGGGGAGGAGGGGCGGGGGGAGGAGAAGGCGAACATTGGATTTACCATCTGATCGGTCATACCATTGTCACGGTCGCAAAGGGTCGCATGTCTTCCAGTTGTTCAAATCCCAGCTTTCGATTCCGCTGTCACAGCATTAGACCGTGTATTATAGCTTCGTTTGTTCCCGATGAGGGCACGTATAGGCACACCCTGCCGCCAAGTTCTGATGGAGGAGGACGAGTCAGGGGAGCTTGCTCTCCACTTGTCCCTCCCCCTCCCCCATACCGTTGGTCCCCTGCCACGTTTTCATTAGTTTTCTTTCCCTCTCCTTCCCTCTCCCTCCTCCCTTCTCCCTCGTCCCCTTTCCTCCCCCTTGCCCCCAGCCCCCTGCCCTCGTTCAACCCCTTGCGGACCCCAGGGGCGCGCATCGCGATCACAACAACCACCGCCTTCTGACGCCTTGGGAGGAGGTGAGACTGTCTAGATGGCTTTAGTAGTCTCATATACTACCGATAAGCTGAAATGCGAGCACGCAAGGTGGTTTAGAATGTGTTTAGTCGACGTACCATACTGCCTCAACCTGATTTAGTAGCACATTGGTTATAAGTGCGAGCCTTAGTGTATAAGTGTTGAGTGTGGCTCATTCTTGCTAACTCATGTCAACTCATGTTAAAGCTATGCCGTGCCCACGAAGCGCGAACTGCATAACCATGCGCTCTGGCCAGGGTCGCGAGTGAAGTAGATTTCCCGATGTTGCAGCCGTTGCCTTGAGCGGCAGTTCTGTGCTGCTTGCGGCTGCAGCTGCTGCGTATGGTTTGTTCCAACACATCCTGTGGTGTCGGATCGTTTTCCATAGGGAATTCCACCTGACATTTTATTGGGCATGTTCGCATAGTCCCCCGTGCCCGCCCACCTCGGCACACCGTTCACGTAGATCGTGCCCCGCAGGAAGCTCCACCGACGACTTCTGCCTGCAAGTTCGCATAGCTTGCTCCCGCTCGTTTCGGCACAACCTTCGCGCGGATCGTGTCCCACAAAGAGCTCCACAGACCCATGTGGGAGAAATGTGGCGCCCCCCCTTCGCTTCGGCATGCACCCCGCGCAGATCTTGCCCCATAGCGAGCTCTACCTGCGGCCCAAGTGCGCATGTTCGAATACTGCCTTCTCCCATGTCGGCACCCCCGTTCACATGGATAGTGCCACGAGGAACTCCACCTACTGCGGCCCCCGTGGGCAAGTTCATTCGATGCCATGCAAATGTCGCACATTCCAGCACGCCCCTCGCGGATCGTGCCCGGCAGGGCGCCCCACGTACGACCCAAGTGGGCAAGGCACATTCGCATCATCTCCCCACTCCTCTTTCTGTATACACTTCGCACGGGTCGCGCCCCACACGGAGTTCCTTTGATGGACATAACGGGCATGGTCGCACAGCGCCCCCCTTTCCGCATGTCAGCGCGCCCGTCACACAGCTTGAAGACCTACGGGCCAATTGGGTACCCCGCCCGTTTCGGCACATCCGGTCAGACGGAACGTGCCTTGGTTACGCCCAGCGCAAAACACCCGAGTTGGCCAAGCGCGGAGCGCTCGGCCCAACTCCGATGAGGGTGCCCAGAGTGCCTGCATGAATTCGCATGGAGTCGGCCCTTACAGCCCCACGCCAGAGGCCCGAGAAAAGCGGCGGTTCACGTAGCTTGGAGCCGCCACTGCTACATGGGGCCCTCTGGTAGCCAGCCAAAGGACGCGGGCGCTGGCGCCACACCCACATGCCAGCCGGCCAAGCGAAACGATGGATCACCCACAGCAGCGCCAGGATTTTTGGTTCACCCACACCTCCGGACGCTAGGAGGCCCCCCTGAGGTAATTCCGTTCAAAGGAGCCTTTTCAGGATGGATCCGGGGGCTGGATCCTACATCCGGCTGGCGAGGCCGATCGTCAAGAGTCTTTCCCGAGGCTGCGTCCAGCAAGGGTGACGATCGGGTTGCTACCCGCCTGTTCTCCAGAGACGGCCGAAGCCATCTGTGGCACAAGTGCCCACACGGACCGTGCCCTGCAGAGGGCTCCATTTACGGTCCCAGTGGGCAAGTTCGCATAGCGTCTCCCCCACCTGTTTCGGCAGACACCTCACGCGACCCACCTATACGCCCCCAGCTGGCAAGTTCGCGCAGTGTTCTTTTCGCTCGTTTCGGCATCCCGCACGCGCATCGGGCCCCACACGGACTTACTTCAGCGTGCTTGTGCGCGCTTGCTCCGCAGCCCCCATATCCGAACTGCCCAGCTGCGTGGAGTCTATGAGGAGAGGGCCACGCATTGCGCTACACGCAGCTGTGTTGGGCTTGACCCTTCGCCACGCGAATGCTGGGCCATCGAACGAACAGCCTTTTGGGTGGGCACCCGGTGGCGCAACCTATGGCGCAACCAGTTGCAAGTCGGCTGATGTTCGGCAGCTGGGGGTGCAATGTATGGCGACACCCATGGCGCACCCCTGGATGGCGTAACCCATGGCACAACGTGCTGCGCAAACCATGGATAGCGCAATCGATTGGGCAACCCATGAATGGCACGACGACCTCGCAACCCAGGGCGCAGCGCAGGGTGCAACCCATGGGCGGCGCATGCAATGGATTTCGCAAGCAGTGGCGCAGCACACGTGGTGCAATGATGGCGCAGCCCGTGCATCGCGCATCTCACGGCGAAAGCCATGGATGGCGCAACATATGGGGCAACCCATCGAAGCCATGGTGACGCCATGGGTGGCGCACTCCCTGGCAGTGTCTTGCGTGACTACGCCCGATTTATGCTCGCCGTTTTGACTGGCTGTGGAGCCCAAGCTGTGTCGTCGTCGTCGTCGTCCTCCTCCTTCTCCTCCTCCTTATCATCATCACCATCATCATTCCCAAGCACCCTGTGGTGTTGGGTTCGTGTTTTGAAGAGACAGCACCCCGCGTCCCTCTCCTCTCTTCTCATTCTCCTCCTCCTCCTCCTCTTCCCCCTCCTCCCCTCTCCTCTCCTCTTCTCTCCTCTCCTCTCCTCTCCTCTCCTCTCCTCTCCTCTCCTCTCCTCCTCTCCTCCTCTCCTCCTCCCGCTCCAGCCCACACGCGCCGCGGCCACCTGTTTGCTTCGTGGCCCCACAGGGGACTCTACCGAAGGCCCCAGTAGCGCAGCCTGCATGCGTCCCATCCACACACGTCGACGCACCCCTCACACGCTTCGTGGCACAATAGGGAGCTCCACCGAAGGCCCAAGCGGCGCAGCTCGCATGCGTTACCGCCACCTGTTTCGGCACGCACCCCTCGCACGTTCCGTGGCACCATCAGGACTACGGCCTCGTTGGCAGCGCCTGCATGGCAGCCCCGCCCCATTTCGGCACACGTTTCACGCGCTTCGCGGCCCCAGAAGGAGATTCACCGAAGGCGGTACTCACAACGGCGACGTTCACAACAGCAGATGGCTGGTTCTTTCGCCAGGCTGATTTCAATCCGCGTGTCCTCCTACCTCCTACTCGCCCCCTCACACCATCTGCATCCCCATGCTGCTCCTGATTCACCTCGCCCGTCACCCTCTTCATCATCCCACCCCCTCCCCATCTTCCATCTTCATCGTTATCCCTCATCCACATGACCATCCTCGTCTCTATCACCAGTCCAAATCTCGTCCTCGACCCCCGCCCCCTTCCCAAACCCTGCCTCTTCTCCTCTGCTTCACTCTCGCTCCCACTCTTTCTCTCTATCTCTCTCTCTCTCTTTCTCTCACTTCCCCCCGCCGCTCTATGCCCCTTCCAATTGTCGTCGTCGTCCTCCCCCTTTACCGCGTCATACGCATATACCCCGTCCTCCTCCTCCTCCTCGTCCCCATCCTCCTCCTCCTCCCCCTCCACGGGTTGTCGTCTTCGTCGTCGCCGTTGTCGTCCGTCGACCGTCGTCGGTCTTCGTCGTCGTCGCCCGCCGCCTTCCTCGTCGTCGTCGCCCGCCGCCGTCCATCGTAGTCGTCGTCCGTCGTCCTTGTAGTCGTCCGTCGTCGTCCATTGTCGTCCTCCAAATCGTCGTCGTCGTCCGTCAACATCGTCCGTCGTCCGTCGTCCTTTGTTGTCGTCGTCATCGTCGTCCGTCGCCCGTCGCCAAGCGTCGGTCATCCGTCGTCCGTCGTCCGCCGTCGTCGTTAGTCTTGTTGTCGTCTGACGTCTGTCGTCCGTCGTCCGTTGTCCCTCGTCCGTCGTCCGCCGTCGTGATTGATCTCGTCGTCGTCTGTCGTCTGACGTGTCGTCTGACGTGTGTCGCCCGTCGTCCGTTGTCCCTAGTCCGTCCGCCGTTGTTGTTGATCTCGTCGTCGTCTGTCGTCTGACGTCTGTCGTCCGTCGTCCGTTGTCCCTCGTCCGTTGTCGTCGTCGTCGTCGTTCGTCGCTGGTCGTCTGTCTCCCGTCGCCCGGCGTCGGCATCGTCGTCGTCAGTTTCGTTGCCCGTCGTCCGTCGTCAAGGCCGCGGCCGCCGTCGTGGTCATCGTCGTCGTCGTCGACGGCGTCGGCGTCGGCGGCGTCGTCCGTGTCGTCGTTTGTCGCTCGTCGCCCGTCGTCCGTCGTCTGTTGTCCGTCTTCCTTCGTCGTCGTCTTCGTCGTCCGTCATCGTCGTCGTCGGTCGTCGTCGTCGTCTTTGTCCTTCGTCGTCCG